GGCCTGGGTCTTGCTGCTGATATGAGTCAAGTGTGAGCCACACTGGTTTACACTTGCTGAATCCTCATGCTGGGTTTTATGAGAGTTTGATATCAGGTGGGACTACAGGGGAAGTTTGTGTGAGAAGCTTCAAGAAGCTTACCCTATGTCCAACAGAACCAGCAGTGCCAGCCACCGCCAAGGTGGGCCCAGCACTATCCAAGTGTGAGCCCACCAGGATGTTGGCAGCACCTCTGTGTGGGAACTCAGCACATCACTTCTAATGTCCAGAGTGTCCGAGATAACCCCTGGGGGGCTTGGAAATCCTGGAATATTGCCAGAAGGGCTTGGTGGTTGGATTTTGACCCTGCACGGGATGAGCCACCTGTATGAGGACAAGAGGATCACTTGGGGATAAGTGGTGAAGGAATTGATTATTCACAGGATGAAAACACAGGTTTTGGGATTTTGGTACAGGGGGGGTTTTAGGACACAAGATGGAGGAATTAGGGCGTATCTTGTCCTTCTCCTCTTCTTCTTGTCATCCATCTTTGATGGTGATGCTGGCACTTTGGGATTGGTTCACATGAAATCTGCACTTGTTAATAAGGGTAAAAGGTATTGGAAGGTAAAGGTAAATATCTTATACGTAGTTTTTAGTATAAAAATAGACGACCGCCCAGTGGGAGGTCAGTGTGCCCATGGCTGTCTTGCTGGTCAGACCTCTGTCAGGCTGGAAGACAACTTTGTAGATAAGAATTAATAAACAATATTGAAGACACAAAAATCTGACAAGTGCACTCGTCCTTTGGAGCGCGGGTGGTTCCAAGGCCATTCTACACCTAACCAGGCAGAGACAACAGGCCGAGAACGGAGACCTCTGGAATAATAGAGTTAAGGTGGGGAAAAGCCGGCAGAACTTTTGCTTACTACAATTGCAGCCAGAGAAGAGAGAAGTAAAAATATGTTGGAGCAGCCCTGCAGGCAGCAAGGTGAGAAGCAGGGGCTGGTGGCTCCAAGCACAGAGATTCCCCTGCAGGCCGTGGTGCTGACATGGCGAGGCAGCTCTGTCCCCAGGGAGCTCCTCAGAGGAGCAGAAATCCACCTGCAGCCCAGAGGGGACCCCACCCTGGAGCAGATGTATTCCCAAGACACTGTGAATCTGTGGGAAGACCATGCTGGAGCACAGATCAGAACCTGTGGATCCACGGAGAGAAGAGCCCACACTGCTGCAGGTCTGCTGGCAAGACTTGTGACACCATGGAAAATCCACATGAGAGCAGTCTGTTCCAGAAGGACTGCACATTCCACCAGTACCTTTCCTGATTAGCAAAAACCTTGCACTTGTTCCAAAAAAGTGTTACTGGTCTAGAACGAACCAGGAAGAAATATGCATTATCAAATTTGTAGGGTTATACCATGCTAGAAGCAGACATATTTGAAAAATCAGAGGGTTGGGCTGTAGATTCTCTCCTGGGATGCTGGTAAGTAACACATGGATCCCTCCCAAGACATGATTCCTCAGCATAAGGACTCTGGTGTTATATTCTGGGGCATAGACTCCTGAGAATAAGAGCAGTGATAGCCTCTATAAATCTGCACCTATCCCAAAGCTGACTGCCGTACCCAAGATCACCATCCTCCAGAGATGATACTTTAGAGAGTGAGAAACATAGTAGGTGCTTAAATGAAAGGGTATCTCAGCAACACACCTTCTGTCCAAGAAAATGAGGTGCAGCCTTGGCTGAGAAATTATCTGAGGATATTTTTTGAGCTAAACCTGCTTTGCAAAAATTAATTCTAGTTAAAATAAATTACTTTCCATGCATCTGTAACCAAATTAAGTTCTTTAGTTTGCTATAAATCCAGCCTAGGACACAATGCAAGTTTAAGAATAAATTACATTGGAGGAAGATGGACAGCTTTCAAATATTGCTAAAAATGTTGTTCAATTCCCACAGTGAAAATTTCTTTCTTTACTGGGCACTGTTAGAGATATTTCTTTCAGATAAATTGCAAGAAATATAATTTGCATACATATTTGGAGTTTTTTTCTAAACTAACTTTAAATTTGTTTCATTTTCCTCAGAATGCACTACCCCACTCTTAGCACATGAGCAATGTTACTACCATGGGTCCATTGTGTTTAAATCTCCCCTTTTACTCCCACCTGAGTTTTCCTGAAAATGGAAGACATTACCTGAAAAGTATATTCCTCACACATTTTTGCAAAATTTAGGAAATAAAATACTACAACTTAAAGGGAGGAGAAAGGAGAAGACAAACTTTTGTGTTGGTTTCCTCCTCCCTTAACAGCAACGGACTTCTTAAAACTGCCTGAGAGCAGTTTTAAGCATCCTGGGTGGGATGGGCACAACTTCTCATGAAGCTCAGCTTCATTAAGTAAGATTCTCATAGTTCAATTTCTTTTGTGGTCACAGAAACGACTAGTGCTTTTTTTATATTAAAATAGAGCTCAATGGAAACAGGTAGAAAGAAAAAACTGAATGAGAACCTGCAGGTCTTTCTTTGATGGTTTCCCCCTCAACTTTGCAGCCCAACCCTTTCTTTCAACTCATGTCGTTCCATATTAAGTATGCTACAAAGAAACCTTCTGGGCACTGCATCCATTTCAAACATTATCCACCAGCCAGGCAAAGGGCATCCAAAGGTTCAGCAGCACAAGTGTACTTAGAGGGAAGGAATTATCTCTTGCCTCCAAGGACAAAAAGAGGTGTGCACCTGGAGGGTATCATGTACTCTTTTATCTTCACTGGAAATAAAAAAGAGAGTATAGTGCAGAGATAATTTTCCTTTCCACTTAATTAAGAGAATACTTACCCAATTTATTAAATCAGCTTCAGAATTAAACATTTTTATATAGAATTTTTCACATTTTTGCTTTTTTCTTGACACACTTAGAATCACAGAATGGCCTGCTTTGGAAAAGAAAGATCATCCAGTTCTAACATCACCACAACAGGCAATGCCACCCACGAGGTTCAGGTTTCTCAGGGTCCAATTCAACCAGGCCTTGAAGACTTTCAGGGATGAGAAATGCACAATTTCTCTGGGCAAACTCTTCCTGTGCCTCACCATCCTCACAGTAAAGAATTTCTTCCTTACATCTTATCCACACTTCTTCTTTCAGTTAAAAAAATCTTTCCCCCTTGTCCTATCACAACATGCGTTTAATAATAAAGTGCCCCTCCCTCTTCCTTTTTAGTTCCCATTATGTACTGAAAGATGCAACATCTTTCAGCACAGCACCTTTCAGACTGCTGAACATCCCCAGATCCCCCAGCCTGCCTTCACAGCAGTGGTGCCCCAGCCCTCAGATCCCCGTGGTGTCCCTGCTCTGGGCTTTGTCCAGCAGGTCCATGTCCTTCCTGTGCTGAGGCCTCTGCGGAGAGGCGTACGTGGCCCGAAGGTCAATGTCCGGCTAGCAGAGGGCAAGGGCCAACGCCTCGCTGCAATTCCTGGCCAGCACCCCTCGGCGTCTGAAGGCCTCGGGCTGTGCTGGCTGCGGACGGGCTCTCACCGCTGAGGTGGACGAGGAAAAGGAGGCGGACACTTCTCCGGGGGTTAAAGTCGGTTTATTACAGGGAGACCAACAAGGAGTATCCAACCGGGGAAGTGACAAAGAATAGGGGGTGAAATGAGCTTTTAAAGGAAGGGGGGGGGGTGGGTATACAGAAAACCAATCGGGAAGGGTGAGGGGAATGAACTTAACAAAACTGACATTTGGGGGAAACCAATAAATACAAGGTAAGGGAAGGGCCCCAGGACCCCAGCCAATCACAGCCCCCAGAGAGATGAAGGTTCTGGAAATCTGGGAGGAGTGGGGGGTGATTGACTGGGCTCAGGGAGGAGAAAAGGTCTACTTAAAAGGAGATATGGGGGAGGAGAAATTATATAACTTAAGTGACAGACACTGAGAACAGGGGTAACCATGGAGACAAACTGCCAGCAGGGCTGTGGCGGGAAAACTGAGGAGCGCAGAACCATTTAACACAGTGTGGGGGAGGACTAATACATAAATTGGGGAAAATATACAAGCAACTTAACCCACACTACAACAGGCCTCCAGAGCTGGTCCTGCAGGTGGGGTCTCACCAGAGCAGCAGAGCAGAGCAGAGGGGCAGAATCCCCTCCCTCACCCTGCTGCCCACCCTGCTTTGGATGGAGCTCAGGATACCACAGGCCTGGCTGGCCCTCTTGATCAACATAGTCTGCTGCTAAAATGTTTTTACAGGTCAGTGAAAATCTATAATCCACATTGCCTTGTATTGCCAATTTCAGTGTTTACTTCCACTTTGAGGGACAATATTCTGGACACTAAAACTGCAGATCAGTTACCAGACTCAGTGAGATGTCTTCCGAGACAGCATCTCCACAGCAGGATCAATGCCAAAAAAAAAAATCAAAACCCAGCCAGCAGATTTATTGTGTGAGAAGAGATACACCTGTAAAGGAATGACTGATGAAAAAACCAACATCAGATAAACACCCACTAGCAGAATGAATGCGTATTAGCCAGAAAATCTGTAAATGATCAGTTAAAAATATGTGAGAGTCAAAAAGGAACATGAGAACAAAAAGAGTCCAGACCTAGTTTTCTAATGGTTTCAATGTTTTCCTAACTCACCAAATGAGAAGCCTATTCACACAACCTTGGCTACAGGCTGGCTCTTGGAGATTGGTGTGTGCTCATGCAATGAGAAATTATGTCAGCACTGTGCAGTATGACTGAGCATGGTACTGCAGAGCTTGACAATGGGGAAATAGAGAAAAATTGAGCACAATTATGTTGGGCCTTCAAATTAAGCAAAGGACTTTTGACAATACTGAAACACAATTACTTTGATGTCGGTTTGGTTTTAGCAAAGTTGCCCCCTGAAGCATATAAGTGCCATCTCTACTGTGCTTCTCATGCTGATGGAAATAAAATTGTCTCATCAATGAAAGTAATTGCACATTTAAAAAAATAAACATACACCAGACTCAAGAGTTAGTTATGCACATATTTTAATAAAGATTAAACGGAGAATGACATTCCTTTGCATGAGAAAATATCTCATGATTCAGCAATCCCTGTCTGGCTCTCAGGCTCCATATTTCAATGCACAATCTTCTGTCCCCTTCATAAGCAGCCAGTGCTGGTCAATGCTGCAGACAAGACTGTGCGTTAAAATGTACCTTTGATTAGATTGAACCATCTATGACATTTTTCAATACCATAATTTAGATAAATACCTTCAGGGTTGAACTACTTCAAACCCTCTTTGATTCTATCAGCTGAGAAATTACTTACAATCAGTAGAACTTTAAAAACTTCCTAACAGATTTGGGGACTTAAAGTGTATTTTTAAAGTAATTTTTGAAAAGTATGCTATGCAATATTCATGTTCCTTTGGACCTTACTAAAAGTCACTTTTGCTGAAAACAAGAATTAACACCATTTTGCTGTTTCATAAATCAGACATCATAAATTGCCTTCTTCCTGATAATTTAAAGGGTAAAAAATCCCCACCATAGCTAATGGAAGTAATAAAGTAATAGTAAGTTCACCTAAATACTTGCTTATATGTGCCATATTTTTAGAAACCATTACTAATAATAATTGGGCAGCAGAATCTTAACCATGGCCAGAAATTGCACAAGAAACTAGAGAAATAAAAAGGTAGAAGTATTATGATATGAAGAGAGCTTCTACGCATGTTTTTTCCCTGAATTCACTGTTAAAGGATGACATGTCACCAATATTTTAAGATATGGTAATATTTAACAATGTATCTGAGTGCTGCCTTTTCTTTCTTAGAAATTTCTTACTCATCAATTTCTTTAAATATTTGGGGGTTTGTTGGGTTTTTTTCAAAAATCTCCTCATTGAAACATTTAGAGTATTAAATTTACATATGGCTGCCTGTTTAAAAATCTCAACTTTAGGTAGTCGCATCAACCTTTGATTAAAAGCACAAATGTAACTAGTTTTGATCCCTGACTCAATCAATCAAACTCTTAAAACTTCAAATTCCTTCTGTGGAGCCAGTTACTGATAACATATTTAAGCTTCACATTCTTCAGTAAACCTAAATTCTGCTTGATGTATTTTTTGTTCACAAGCTCACACTAAGACATACAGAAGCCAAATATAACAGAAACACAAATGCTGACATTCAGCAATGAATGTTCATTACAGGAAAAGTTAAAGAACCTCGTTTTTATCAAACACAACCAGGAAAACTAATTTTAAAATGTAAATGAATGCTTAATTCATTTTTTTACATCCCTCTCTGAATAATGAATTGGTATGAATTGATGCAGTCCTGTTAGTACATCACCCTATTTAGGCAAGCAGAATGTAGGCATTTCAAACACAATAACAATATTATTTTTTAGACTATCTTGTGTCATTTATTTATCACAGCTGTTCAACACTGGAAAATACAGAGGACTCCTGGCTGTCAGTCACAGCCATTGTGCACAAATATCCAAGACTCAGGCACACAGCTGGCCATAACCAATTCAAGCTATACGCTAACAAAATAAAAAGTACGCTAAGACAATGTGTTATGCTCCCCGGCATCATACACAACCAAAAGAAAAAGGAGACTTCTGCTGAAATACTAGCATACTTTATGGAGCAGCCTTCCTTGAAAAACATCTTTACTGTATTGTTCCTGAGACAAGTCCTGGATGGCAACAGAACAACCATGAAGTATCCGTATTTTCCAAAGTGCCAGTTGCAGCACTGCAATGGGAAACAGCTGTTTCAGGATGACTCTCCATAGTCCTGAAATAATATGCAGATAAACACATGTAAATAGATGAATACAAGCATGAAGTTGAAGACCATTTTAAAGGAAACTAAAACATTGGTAGAGAAATGTACCTAATAAATTGCTTACATTTACATAGTTTAGAATATATTCAATCAAATACCCTAAACTCTATTTTTACTTACAGAGAAACAAAATAATTCAGATACTTTGATGTTACTGAGTATTTGAAGCATTGTGGTGAAAGTAATATTTTTATGTAAGCAATTAATAAACATTAATTTTTGAGATTTGCAGCACATACAGTTTAAAAGGAAATGTTAAAAAAGAAGACACTAAAAAATGTTTAAAAACCCAAACAAACAAACAAACTCAATCAAATGGTCATTGTTATTTTATTTATGGATTTCTACTATCCTCTGGGGCAATTACACATTTGAATGTTAGCTGTCTGTTGATATCCACATTAGTGTGTGATAAAAACCATAAAACTCTCATTAAACCCACGAAAATGGAGAAGAAATAAAATTTACTTGCCATATCCATTTAGAATTCCATTGTTTTTGTAACTCATTAAGAAGACACACAATTACATTTGCACTCTGCCTCAGAAGTTGTTACAGATGTCTGCAGCTTTGGTAAAGAGAGGGGCTTAGTGGAAAAGCAAACACTTCTATTATTTCCCAGAAATTTTACTTTCCCTATAAAATCACTTCTTTTCCAATTTTCAGCCCAAATTATTTCTTTTTATGTTCACTAGTTAAAATTAATAGTTTTCATTTAATTTAGAGTAAGACATATATATCCAAACCTTCCTTGCAGCAGTTCTGGTACAAATGCTTCATAACGTTTAGTCTTTTATGGGTGAGACAAATTGCCAAAGGAAGACACAATCTCGATTTGCCAGTGACATATTTTTGATAACCAAAAAAAAAAATTCTCAAAAAAGGGTTTAAGATAAAATTGCACTCGTTTCCAAAAAAAACATTCCTTGTGATTATGCCTTCTCCCTGTCATTTCAAGATTAATAAATGTATCCTCCATAATTGAAAAAAACTGAATAAAAGTTAGTATTTTGTATAGTGAAAGGAACCTGTAAACCTCTGTTACTTAGTATTCAGCATCATTTTTGCTGCTACTATTTTTATAAAGTTCTGGAGAACAAGACAGTTGTGGTGAGCTTACACTCATCCTACCTCTGAGGAGACTGGCCCAAGGCTTTTCCTAGTCAGCAACACTGACACAATCCTTATGCTGTAATAGCAATAACTTACTGTTTTTAACAAACAGCAGCCTTTGTTCTGAGGGGACTCGTGTCCCTCTTGGCTCTGTGACTTATCAAACACCCAAGACATCCAATAGTGCTTTAAAAGGCACTGCTGGATATACCTGATTGCCAAAATGTGGGGTTTTCGTTCTAATCTGTAAAACCTCCACTCTCATTTTGTGCCTGCTTACTTTCCATATATAACATTTTGCATCCCTCTTCACCATACAAGACAGACAAAATGTGTATCCAAGGAATCATCTCAACAATTCATGAACAATATTTCTAACAACAAATATTTTATTAAGCTACTTTTACCCAACTGTAAAGTTAACTCATAAAACAAACAAATAAAAAAAGTTCTACAACATGTACATAATTTATGGTGAAACATGTATTTATTACACTTTTTAAACACCTAGCTTATATCTCAACACCTCTAAAATTGTAACACCTTTAAAGCAATAAAGTACTTTGATTCTTATAGATATATCTTTGGACTAACTAAAGACATCAAGAACAAGCAGCATTTTACCTTCTCCCGGAGAAACTGCCTACAGACTAACAGCAAGTGTCACTTTAGTTTAATGTCTGTCTGTTTTCAAGGATGTATGTCTTTCAAAACAGGGTCGTGATCTAATATGACTTTCCTACTGATTTTTTTTTCCAAGGTAATTTAAGCTGTCCGGAGGTTTGGGGATGTTACAGATTCTCATTTCATAAAAGTGGCAACACTTTAGGTAGTATCAAAACACCTTGCTTGTTCAATGCCAACAGAAAGTTCAAAGTATAAAAATACTGTGTGTTTTATAGGTGTGTAGGAATGGCATATTCTCAAAAATTCTAAGTAAATAACATTGAAAGGTTAAGAGTAATAAAAGATGGTAAATGTTCTCTCATTTAGTGGAAACTGCACAACTCACTGGATTTCTCCCAGTCCTAAGTCTTTCTTGACTGCAGCCATTTAAAAAACAGCTGGGCCTTGCAGCTATGCAGTCAACTCTTGCAGTCAGTTGTAATAGTCAATATATTTCAATAGCAAGACCTTTCACTGTGCACTGGGAATCATCCCTCAAAAATGTTTACTTGATAAATTCTAGTTGAGAGACGTTTATAGTCAATGATACAATCCAACTGTATATTTTTAAACCTTTATTAGTAATACAATGCCTACAAACTTCCTATTGATTATATCTCAGTTCAAAGCTGTCAAATGTTTTAACATTAATAACTATTAAAATACCTGAGGTGTCTATTATCCACCTAGTTGTATAGATCGGAAGCGTGAGATACAGGCAGGTTGAATGATTTTCCCATCTGTTGTCTGTGTGCTTTGGAGCATAACCTAAATATAGACATGTGGAAAAGTTCGACTAAAATGCTAGCTCCACAAAAAAGCAAAGTAACTTTTGCTCTTTTATTCAATAGAGACATAATTTTATCCTCAATTCACAAGAAATTTCCTGACATTAAAAAAAATCTGGTGACCTTCCCAATTACAACTCCACTGGATACAAGACAGATGCAACCCAACATATGATAGTAAACAGGTTGATATAATCTCAGATTTTCTATGGCAACATTAAAGTTCTGGGGTGGTGGACGTGCAACAGCTTCAGGATGGTCTCAAAATATCTCTTTTCAGGACATGAAAAATTATGAAATGTAGCATGACCAACAACGGTTCAGGGTGGCACACATCTAGACTGGAATTAATAATTTATGGAATGATCTTTTATTTTGGTCTAGAATATAAATGAACATGCCCATGTCATGCTTGCACTGATTTTTCTCATTTGCAATAAAATGATGTTTAGTGCCTTTGAATTCAGAAGCCTCTCTTTCCTGTTTAACCTATTATCTAGAGTAATATAATCCTGTGGAGCACTTGGTAAGTCACTTTCCAACTATCAATCATCCCTAAATAGTGCTCTCTCATTTTAAATCAAAAGAATAGAACAGATTTCCCCTTTTCTCCATCTTGGAGACAGCAGCAGTCAATAAAGCCGTCCATTTCAAATACAAGATCTATAGCTGCCAGAATTTTTATACCATATACTCTGCATTTCTAAATACAGTATTCATATTGGTAGAAAACACGCAGCAACTGCCTGTAGCAGCATCTAATGGGATTTTAACAGAAGCCTGAGCCTTATCCAGGTGTCTGCTAATTGACCTGCAGAGGAAGCATTTCATTGTGTGCAGCCAGGCAGTTCTGTTTAGATAAATCAATAGAGAAAAGAGAATTTGGGAGTTTTTAAGCAAAGGTCAGGGTTAATCTGTAAATGTGTTTTATCCCTTGAAGGATTTATATTAATCCAGTTTTGTCTCTGATACCACTGATTCAAAGCTTACATTATAACTGAAAATCTTCTCTCTGGTGCTTTTCTTTCTTATAAATACTCAACTACTTAAATGTGCACCGCCCAACAGGACAGCAAGGAGAATCTACTGGTAAATCTTTAAGTAAAACCCACATACTTTTTAATAAGAAAACAGACTTAATGGAGAGCACAGGCCTCCTGACCAAAAAAAAAAAAAAAAAAAAAAATCCTGATTTCATTTCTGTTCTGCGTGGGATGATTTTTTTTTCAATTTGATTTTTTCCTTACAGAAACTTTGCCTAATATTCTTCTACAGCAAATTAAAACCAGAAGTTGTTCTAACATAGGGATCTAGTCCAATAGCACAGTCTTTGACAGAATTCAGGCACATCTCAAAATCCAGGAGCATGAGAAAAAAATCTGGCTGATGTCCAGGATACAGAATTTTGTGGCGTAGAATAGAATTACTGTTTCAAGATGAACCCCAGTAGAACAACCATGGTCCCTGCTCTGGCTGGGACCATGCACAAACTACAGCTCCTGAACCCACAGCTTCCTCTGCAAAACATGGGATGGCACTGGTGGCATTCAGAGCAGAAAGGCTTGAAAGCTTTCAACAGCAACAACCTACCATGTACAGCAGAGCAGATTTTTGTCATCAGCCTTATGTCCATATTTTATTCCATTGCTTTAATGCAGTAAAAGATGGTAGTCTGCCCCATTTCATAAATTCATCCATTTTATATAGCACAAAAGGCACTTTGTATGATTTTGGAAATATCCCTTATTTAAGGCACTGTAATAAAACAAGACTTCTGTTGCAAGATAAATAAGGTACCACTGCTCCTTCACTGTCCTGTCACCTCAGTTTCATATTATTTCAGTCAGTCTTGTCTTCTGCCCCTAAGTTGACATTAATGTCTTTCCTTATCATGACATTTATGGTTTCCATTATTTTCTGCAGCACTCTATTGATTTTGAGATCTATAGCTCCTACATGAATTGTCCTTCAGAGCTCTGTCATTACTCCTGCTTGTACAATAGGTACATGCCCAATGATTCAGGATCAAATACAGACAGCCTAGCCATGTGAGGGCTAAAGTAATGGAGGTACTCCTTTTCCCTCAGGGGAAATTAAGTTTCCTTAATATTGTAATATTTACATTTCAATGAATAAATATACTGACCACCATTATATTGGTATTTTTTTCTCTCACTCCTAAATTCCTAAGGCCTTAGAATGGCCTCACAAACTAATTTTTAAAAAATGTTAAAAACATGAAACTATAAAGCCTCCATATAGGAGTAACCAGAGCAAGAATTAATAGCATAAAAATGTGATAGTTACAACTAAAATGAGCCTATGCCAACCCAAGGCTAGATAGATTTTGTTGCTGTCCAGATGAACAAACAGAACTTTGTT